TTCCAGTCCTTACCGAGGATAGTTCCCAGTTTCCCGTGAGACATGATAACCACCACCACACTGTCTGTGTCCCTGAGTTTCGGATTTTTGGAGAACTCAATCATGGTAGTGTCAATTTCCTGTGAGAGCACAATAATTTAGATATCAGTTACTGTATCACAGAACCAACCAGACAAATTTTTTTTTCTATTTCTATAAAGTACCTTTGCTGTGAGGTTTGTTCGTTTTAACACATCGTATCCCAGAGCTTTGAGAAGTTTCTCCATGTTCTCCTGATCTTTCTCAGCTCCCTTTCTGTTGTATTTCTCATTAGTAAACGTTATATTAGTGATTAGAAGGGCCACACGATTCTTGAAAGCCGTTTTGGAAACAGGGTAAACCTGAAAAACAAATTTAAAGAAATAAAGTTAAACAATGTACCACATGTCTCAACGTGATTATTTACAGGAAATATGTACATAGAGAGATACACATAAACATAGATAATTGTATCAGTTAAGAACATGTAAGATATTTGATATGGCTTTTATGAATTACTAACTTTTTTATCGTTTTGTTTCTCCATCCAGAATTTCTCTGTGGTAGGGATGAGCGTGGTCGACCACTCCTGGTCCATCTGGGTCTCTGCAGCTGGGAACAGCAATACATTTCATTGTATTACATTGTTTTTCTTTATACATCTGTATTAATGACAGTGTTAAAGTATAATATCAGTTTAAATAAAAATAGGATGAAGCTCTCTCTTCCTGAAATATGTTCACCTGGTGGAGCAGGCTGTTCAGCGAGGCCCTGTTCAGCCAGACCCAGTTCATCGTAAAGAGTAGGGTCTCTGCGTTGAATGTGAGCGATGAACTTCCTGCTGGCTACGTCTCCTTTCCTCTTCACCGTATCAAGGAGACAACGTGCCCTGTCAGCTCTGTTAACGTTCTCCTCAATAATTGAGTCTCTCTCTCCATCGTTTACAATACAGTCATCTAAAATGTTGTCCAGGAGCTGTTTGATCAGATCTTTGGACACCTTTTCCACAAACTTACTCCTAACCCTGAAAAGCTCATCTAGAAGAGACAATATGAAGCAAAAAATAACTAAATTACACAATTCAAAATGTTGCTTATTTTCAGAAAATGTGCTGCTATAATAATACATTAGAAATATTTACAAAACATTGCTTCCCACTTGAAAACCATGTATCTCCAAAATACGAAAAAAAAAAAAATTTACGAGCGAAGAAAGAACAGTTTTAAGCTTTATTACAATACATTTTTCATCAAATCCAAAGGTTTTTTTTTAATGGTTTATGTAGATTAAGAAATATTCACTTGTTTTCAGCATTTAATCCTTACCAGTAAAAAATTTTCAGTTGAAAAGCAGTTAAAAAAATTACTATGGTCACCAGTGAAAAGTCTCACCAAATTGGTTCAAAAGGTAATGTTTGTTCTACGACTCATACAAACCCGAACGTTCACATTTAGACCATGTTTCATCAGAATTTACAATAGTTAATTTTTGTATCCTCTACAGTGTGCAGATAATAGCCTATTGCACCCTTAGAAGCCTAAAACCACATCCAAATAATATTTACATGCCTCACATGGGACTCAAACCACAGTTTCCCAGGAGGAAGTATACAATTAACAAACTCATTCACCACATCTTCCTGTTAATGTGTCACTTCTTCTAATACTTCTATACTATACACCTCATAAGTTTCATTTTCTGCACGCTGCCCTTCCACATGTAGTTGGTGCTCTTGTTATATTTTTACTTTTTTGTTCCCCTGTTCCTCATACAGCTGCAGTGCGCAGCTATTTCAGTTGCGGACGTTATCATATCCTTCCTCCTCACACAGTATAGAGAAGAAGCATACAACTACGCCCATGGTTTTCACTTGAACTGTTGAAAACTTAAATGCGTACTTGCAATAATAATAATAATAATTTCACATCACAGTGTGAATTATTAGACCACCAGCGTATGTGTTTAACTTAATGCATGGGTTTCAGTCAAAGGAAGTCACTTTTAGAGAATCTTTATTGTCTGACCTGCGTACTTTGGACATACATAACTCCATAAACCCGCGTTTATTGTTTGCCAACTTTTTCTGAACAAACACTTTAAAGGACTAACACTGTGAGCTCTCTGTGAATATGAATATAATGTAAAACACATCACAGTTGTCACTTCAATAAAGTTTTATCGACATTTTTGAAAACTTAACAAAAGCTGCATCTGCAGACAACAGCGCACAGGGAAGAGAGGAGGTAAAGTGAAACTATAATGCGTGGCACACACACAGCCAGACGAAGAGTTATCAAGAGTTTTCTTTGGCAGACTTTGTGAAACGAAGATAGAAAATCATATTTTTAACTCCCATCCTCCTCACCGCCTTCATAACACAGACCACTTACAGTAAATACAACTTATGTAAATGTACTCGCTGATCGGCCCTGCGTTTTGCCGCCAACATACACCATCATGGTTACTTATAGACTTAATTTAAACCGTGGACTCTTACCTGCCATTTCTCAAATCTCGTATCACAGAAATGTCTAAACTGAAGTCTGCAGGTTCTGCGAGTAACCTCCCCGGCGTCAAACGGCCTGTGTGTATAGACGGGTGCGTAATGCGCTCTGGTTCAGCTGGTGAGGAGGTTTCCTGCTTTACTTCACGTAACCTGCTTTATATTATCGGGAGTGCTGGGCAGGAAAACGTTAACCATTACCTAAAATGGCGCAGCTGTACACATGTGTGTACTTAAAACATATTAGAAATGGTTGAGACTCTGACATGAACCCCACATTGTTCCCTTGATTGATTATCAAACAGAAATACGACCCATAACGGATCATTGACTATAAATCAGTCACTATAAGATACAGATACAATTACAGTACACAATATGTTATGTTATATATCCACATGTCCAAGTTTTATTTGGGATTTGTGCTAGATGATCCCTGATGGTCACATGGCAAATAGGTCACACAGTTTAAAAAATAATAATTTACAGTAGTCTGATTTATCAACTTCCCAGTCAGCAAATATTCGCTTTACTCTCCACTCTGAAGCCAAAACATATCACATTTACTGAAATCATCAGTTTAATAGTGCATTTTTATATATGCATAGATTATTAAGACATAAAGTGATTTTAGGTTTATAAATCCACCTTGTGTGGGGACAAGAGCCAAATTCTTTACATTATACAAAAAATGCTTTAAAAATTGCATGATTATCAATAATGAGCCTCTTCCTCATTTCCTCCATCCAATCAGCAGTGGGGATGAGCGTGAATGACCAGTTCTGCTCCTCTTCTGACACTGTGGCTAGAAACAGCAAAACACAACATCAGTGCTTTAAGACTTATGCTCAAAATGATGCATTTCTCTGTGCTGGAGATAAAAAAAAATACCAGAAAAACAAATCAGTGGTGACATTTTCCTCTGCTGCAATGAACACAAGCACTGTAGTTTATTTTAATTCCACATACATCATCCTGCTGCTGTAAATTCTGATTGTGTATTAATCTGCAGCTGAAAATAGTCCCCTACAAATAAACTTTTTACTGTTGTTTCAGTGCCCTGCTGTTTTAAATTATATGTTTGAGACCAGCTTTTAAAGATTTACATTGTCAGTAGGAACCAGTGGACTTGGGGCTAAGTGCCAGAGACTACTGCATTGTTAACTAGAATATTTAATAATGTAAATTATTCTTTAATCAAACTATGATAAAGTTCTCCTGACCCCAGGCACGCTCTCTGTTTGTCTACAATAGATTTGAACATGACAGTATCGAGGTACAGCATTAGTTTCTCACACCACCTGAATAAAATCCAAACAAAAGGTCTCCATAGCTCATTGGCATTAAGCTTCACCGACGCATTGCCAGCTCACCTGGTTAAACAGTTTGAACTCAGGCCTGACCCAGTTCAGCGTAAAGAGTAGGGTCTCTGGTTTGAAGGTGAGCGAGCATCTTCCTGCTGGCTACGTCACCTTTCCTCTTCACTGTGTCAATGAGACAACGTGCCTTGTCTGCTCTGCTAACGTTCTCCTCAAGTATGGAGTCTTTCTCCCCATCGTTCAAGATACCATCCTGTAAAAGGTCGTCCAGGAGCTGACTGATCAGAACTCTGGACACTCTATCCACAAAAGTAGATCTCATTTTGGCAAGCTCCTGATCTAGAAGAAAGAACATGAGACATGGAAATTATACCTCTCAAACTGAGGTTATTCAAGGGATAAACACACTCCAGTAAGGTCCTTGTCTAGAAGAATCATTATGATAAAAATAATACACAAAATAAGATAAGTACCCAACTCAAGTGTTTTTGACATGCTTTATGGTTGTAAGGATGAATATGATGTTAAAGGTATTTGCAAAAGGCGTCTGAAGGCTACTGTACAAGAGAAAATGCCATGAAATTAATGGGTTGGTGGTGAAGACTTAAGTTGCAATAACCATCCTGTAAAAAGTAGTATTATCAGTAAAATGAAAAAAAGTATTTAAAGAAGAACAAGTACTCATTATGCAGAACAACCACGTTCAGAGTGTTATATGTATAAATAAAAACATACAGGATCACCATTAATTATGCTATCAGTGCATTTTTATGTTGTAACTGGTCGCCATTTGTAAAAAAAAAAAAAAAAAATTATTTGCATGTGCTGCTACCAGGAAATGTACTGTAGATAAAACATCTGGCTCTGAAGTGCAAGTAAGTATTAGATAGTGTGAGAAACACTCAAATGTATGTTTCTACAAAAAAGCGGAGGTGTGAGCAACAGGTCAAAGTGAAGCTAAAAGAAAGCAGACAATTAAACTACAGTATTAAGACCACTTGTTGTAATGTCATATGAGTATCATATCAGTGTATTCTTTGCTGATTGGCCCTGGTTGTTTTTCATTCTTTAATTCTGTGTGTTTCCTTGTCGCTGTGATCTGTACTAGTTCATGCGTCCTGCAGCTGTGCCGTTAATACGGATACGCCCAGATAAACTCACAGCTAAACTTGACGACTTTGGATTTGCTTTGCTTGCGTCACAATGTTTAATTCCCATCTAATCCTGGATAGAATATTATTAGCAGTATTGATCAAAGTCCCAAAACGTGAACCCTATCTTTCTTTACACTCTCCACACCTGCAAACCCGCGCGCTGGCTGACCTCCTTTGTTCTTCCTCTGTACTTTTGTTTTCAACATGCATTTTAAACCCCAAATACTCTTACCTGCCATCACTCATAAACGTCGTGTCACCAAAAAGTAGCCTATAGATTAAAGTTAAATGCGTTTAAAATCACGCCTCCTTCCTGTGCGTGCGTGCGTAAAAGACGATCGAGTGCGCGCCGAAAGCGTCACATGGAGATGGACACGTCATTAACGTAAAGACTGATTGAAGGAAAACATCTGGCTTGCAGATGCTGGCCAGAGGATGTTCAACGATGAGTCAGAGACTAGGATTTGTGGATTAGGGTTAGTTTATTTAATAAGCCGAAGGAAGCAGAACAACTCCTATACACGGGTGTCATTTCCCTTTAATTTCCCTACATGGAAACAATGGATTTCACACACAATCAGTCAATGCATCCATTTCTTTGGAAAAGTTCCCCCACGACCCACAAACACTTTCCTTATGGGCACATCTGCACTGATTATACACCCTGGTGGTCAGTCGGTGTATGTGTATATACATATACGCTATAAACCCAATGATTTCTATATTCAGGTGATTATACACTATCAAAAAACATAATCATCAATATTATATTTATGTATTATGTTGATATATTGCTATTGTGATGATACAATATATAAAACAAGATTATTTAGTATATTATTTTATGTAATTTATTTATTATTAGAAACTTGTTGGCCCATGTTTTCTCCTTGTGTGAACGCAACATCTGGTTTTAAATTCTGCTGCGGAGGATGGCAAAAGGTTTAAATATTTTAACTTTGGATGGCAATGTTGTTTACTGTTTACTTTTTTGGGGGATTTAGATTCATTTTTTACACTCTTTTATTTTATACACACACACACGCTGAAATGCACACTGAGATGGTGGAAGGATGAGCTGCGACGTTAGCAGCGCCCCAGGAGCAGTTTTGGGGTTAGGTGCCTTGCT